ATATATATATATATTGTCTCTGTGTGGATAAAGAAGACCAATCATTTTTTTTTTCTCAGCCTTTGAGGTCAAAGTTAGATTGTTGACCATCGGATTTAATGAGCTCAGGGATGATCTGACGGTAGAGATTAAAAGTTACCGAAATGACGAATATAACCTTGAGCATGGGTCAGTTTTACGGAGAAGAGGGATTGTTGGGAATCTAGTCGCTGCGCGCGGAATATCCGCAACTTTGACTGTTTCTTTGACCATTCCCTCTTTTTTGACCGTTTAATTTTTGTGGATATGTAAATTTATTCAAATTAGCCGCAAAACAACGAAAAGTATTATATGTAAATTGCAAAAAAAAAAGATTTTAGTACTTTTTTTTTTTGAACACCTACAGATTTTAGTACTTAGAAATAAAAAATCACGAACACACTTTGTATCTGTCATTGATTTGTTGTTGCAAGTGAACTTTACAAAGAATTGGGACCGATATACAGTAATACATATGACAAATGTCTGTGATAGTACAATCTGTGTTTACTCATTTCTGGCGTGCTTCTCTATTGTCTGGAATATTCCTGTCTCCAATACTCCTGTTTGGTACAACTAGCTATACCATGGTACAACTGGGGTATTATTATTTAGTATAACTAGTTGTACTAAGTAATACCATGGTATAACTAGGTATTAGTTGGTATAACTATAAGAAAATGGTACAATTATGTATTACTTGGTACAACGATGAAGATATGGTACAACTAATTTTTTTGGTACTACTAAAATAAATTTTGTACATGATACAACTGGAGTTTCTCAAACATTGACTTAGTCAACAAGAACTTATGGGACATTCATTCGTAATACATAACAGTCTCAAAGGAAGGCCCATTAATATCTCAGATTTAATAATGTCTACAATAAACACTCTTAATGGGCCTGAAAACTCATTTGNATGGTTTATTTTTGTGAACCATTTGTTTATAAGTTATAAAATGTATTTGTAGTGAGAAAATTGTGTAATGCAAATAAGCAACCATGAACAGAAAATCACATCTTAGAATTCCTATTTTCCCTTTTTCTTTTATATGGTTGCAATTCTGGTTTGATCTTACTATCTACTACTCCCCATTTAGCTTAAAATCTACATTAAGAAAACCTACAAAACTTACTAGTTGGTTCAAATCTTTTATGTGTCAGAAATTCGAGTATTGCCCGCAGAGAAAAGACAAATTAATATACTTTGATCTCTACTCAAAATAAAATTATGGATTTAAAAAAGTTTATATATTAGTCATGTTCGTTTCGCAGTTGCTTTTTCGCATTTGCTGACGACTGCGACCAGCGATAGGAACTGAATGTTGTTCGTTTGACCGGCGTAGCGATCAACGACTAGTTACAGCGATCAGCGACCAAAATTTTTAGTCACTAGTTTTTTTCAGTGACTGGCGACACCACGAACAACATTTAGTTGTTGCGACCA